GTAACGATAGAGAAATGTTGGATATGTGTATAAAGTTTAACGTTTTATGTTACGCCGATGATACTATTGTTATGGCAGATAATGCGACGGATCTACAATATAATCTAGATATGTTTAATGAATATTGTAATACATGGAAACTCAAACTTAATGTAAATAAACAAAAATAGTTATTTTTGGTAGTAGAGGTACACCGAACCACCATTTTAGAATGGATGGGAAGGATATAGAAATTGTAGACCGTTACAAATATCTTGGTATTGTATTTAAACAAAGTAGGAATTTCGCAGAAGCGAAAATTAATCTTGTACGAAAAGCCAAGTATGCTCTGTATACTAGAATTCATAGTTTAAGATTACCTGTTGACTGTCAATTAATACTTTTTGACCAAAAATTGTTCCTATATTGTTATACGGATGTGAAATCTGGAGTTTCACAAGCACAGCCTGTAAAGAAAAAATACATTTAAATTTTTTCAGAAATGCACTTGGTGTTAAAAAAAGTACACCGAGATATATGTTGTATGGTGAGACCGGACGTGTCCCACTAAGTGTACATATCAAAACACGGGTGGTTACTTACTGGGCTAGAATTGTCGAGTCACATGACTGTAAACTTGCTCACATAGTGTACAATTTTTTGTTGAAATACAATTACTTTAACAATTGCCAGTCTCAGTGGTTACAAGCAGTAAAGTCTACATTGGACAATTGTGGTATGAGTAATATTTGGCATAGTCAATCGTTTTTAAATGTAAAATGGCTGAAGTATACTATCAAACAAAGGTTGTTTGACCAGAACTTTCAGGAATGGCAACAACAAATTGTTAATTCTAACAAAGGACAAATGTATAGTTTAATAAAGTCTGATTTAAAAATCGAAAATTATCTTATCTCAACCTTACCCGCTCACTATGTAAAGTGTTTTTCCAAATTTAGAACAACAAATCATCGTCTCCCTATTGAAGTTGGAAGATGGAACAATATAACACGGGAAAATAGGAAATGTGTTTTATGTAATAGCAACGAAATTGGCGATGAATATCATTATGTATTAGTCTGTAATTACTTCTCTAATTTAAGAAACATTTTCATAGGTACACAATATTGTGTAAATCCATATGTACGTTAATTCATTAAGATTATGACAACAAACAATTTAAATGAACTGTTGAACTTGTGTAAATGTATTTCACATATTATGAAGCATAACCCAAACTATTTTGTTATTAATTAGTACAATGTATACAGGTATATCATGCTAACTACGTTATGTTGTATATCAATGCAATTATGTCAATCCTCATATGTCATGTATGATCTGAGGTTAATTAAATAAAGAAATCTGAAATCTGAATACAAAACTGACCTGTCCTGACACGGCCTCAGTGACCATCAGTCCCAGACATGGTTATTAATACTTTACAAATCTGAAGAAGACATCATCATGTCACAACTGTAAGACTTTGTGCTGAACTCTTGAGTTTTCATCCAGCATACAGAGGGTATGAACCGGATGCAGTTTTGCAGTTTTTTCGTTGTCTGGCTTCACAGGATCAGATGAGGAATTCCTTACCTACTTTCTGCTGTGAACCAAGCTCTTTCCTTTCAGTGTCTGTCGAATCAAATTAATTTTATTTGATCCTGAAATGTACAATCATATTTAGAAGTGTAGTAAATGTAACACCATGAGTTATTTCCCTTTAATGAGAGGTTAGAGTAATTAGAGTTATCTCCCGGGCTTTTTGGAAGTTCATGTGCTTGGTCGGCCATGTTGTACTTCGGGAGTCCTGCTAAAAATAAAAGCACGTTTACAGATTTCTGACTCCGCTTCGTGATTACTTCAAGAAGGCTAAGTAAACTATATAGATTTATCTATAGGAAAAAATAACTCTGTTAATGTTGTTTGATACCCTCTACACAGAATATAATATGCCCAACTTCAGGGTTTTCCAAGTACTATATATGTTTTTTCGTATTAATTATGTCAGAAACACGCTAATTATTAAGAGGGAAATATCTGCTGTTATTACTGTGAATTACATTTCATATTGGTGTGCATTTTTTGAAGATGGAGCTATAAGAAACAAGCTATGTTTTGAAGTACTGATGCATAAGGGAAACATCTTGGTAATGTGTAGTGGATAACTATAAAGCTGACAGGTTTACAATGTATCATTTACTTTGTTATTTTGGTTGTTATAAACTTTAAATCACATCCTGATATGAAGCGAATGTGAGAGCAGTAAATCAAGTATTACCTAACTTCTATTTTCGTTGTCTTTACTTTTGAAACATTTGAATTATTATATACAAGGAATATTGATCCTTACAAAAATAATTCTGAAGTTAAAGAAAGTATGCCTAGCTGAATATCTTGCAGTATATTTAAAAGTGAAATATCTTTCATCTTTGCTTTGTTGCCTTGAGGTTGTATGTGCGATCGATATTTAGCTCAGTGGAAAGTACATGTGAGAGAGTTAGTTATAAGGAACCCGAGAACTGAAAGATATTGATTTTTACTACTACATATAATAGTTGAAGAAAATTTCAAGATTATTTTGGTTATGATACATTAATAATATTTTTCAAAGAATTTCCTGCAATTTTCGTATCATTTTAAATTGCAAGCCAATATTCACTTACTTATAATGATGTTTGTTTCAACATGTTACTGAGGAATTTTCATGGATAGTTGACGTATTTTAGTTATTTTTTTATTTTCCGTGCACCAAATTGAATGGCATTAATAGGAAAGATAACAGCTATGGAAATTAGTGACGCCGATACAAATTATCATACTTTGAAGTATTTTGATGTTTCCGGACTCTCGATCATACAAATGCTTGTGGTACACTACTATCAGCATTTACCTGATTCAGAAGCTATTTCATTTAAATTGTCATTTTAATTTTTTATTGTAATCTTGTACACCCACAGTAAAATTGTGTATGGTCAATTTCATTTCGTATGGGCGTTTCAAGATTACATAATTATAATGTCTAGGGGAGATAATCTAAGTCCAAATGCATTTTAGTTATTCCCCTTCATTGTAATTCTTTTTAATGAGATATATTTTGAGGGATTATAACAAATATGAAGTAAGAGAGTTCCCTCTAACCCCTGAATCACCACAACGGTGGATAATTAAGCATTCACATATTTGATTGGTCAAAAACATCTTTCTTTATTGTATGATATACTGTAATAGCGATACAGTGACGTATATTACACGTGCTTTATATATCTCCGATTGATTATCGGCAATAGTTTTGCTACTCTCCGTCTCGGCCCCCATCGGCTGTCAAGCTCATCGCTATAGGATATATAACGAAGGGGAGTAACTCGGGGAGCTTAGAAAATCACGACAGCTCCCCAACACTCCTGATATTGTGCCAAAAGATCTTCTTCAACATACTGTTTAATGTTAACTGAATGTGATGTTGCATTACCAGCATTTGAAAGAGTCAGAGTTCTTAAATCACCAAGCAAAGTGTACTCCATCTACAAATCGCCTGATACTGTTGATGTAAAAGAAATGTCTCAATTGTTAAAAAATAAACATATACTCTTTTCACAAATTGTCTTTAAGCATAGTCATAATGTTGGTACTTGGACAATTTTTAATGTGCCAACTGCTGGGAGATTTTCTGATTTGCATACAAAACATTATATGAAGCGCAACATTGTGATTGTGAATGACGCAAACAAAAATCGTAATATAGCCTAATATCAAAGCGATCGGTAATCGTCGGTACTTTACGTAAACAAAACGGGAAAGTTCCGTTAGGTTCCGACTGCTATTGTACAGAACTGTATAGCGATGCACTGAAGGCAATGTCCTCCTGGCGATATTGTACAGGATTATTTTTGATCTTAACAAGTGTAGCTTCTAATTTAGAATACTGAACAATTACAGCGTATAGATCTCACAAATTACAAAAGCAGTGTTCATGGTTTACAGATATATATCGTTATTTACCTCTCACATAGATCTATTTACAACTGTTTGTTTACATGCATATAGTTAAACTTTCGGACATGCTTTACATAATGTGTTTTCATATCATTTATGCCTGAATAAAAACAAGAACATGCGTGGTTTTACATAACAAAAGTGTATCCTTAAGGCAGGTGTTTGTACATTTGCAAGAGGAAATATTTAAATAATTAATTATGATGCACACGTCTAAAGACACAGCTAATGGTTCACACCATGAAGAATCTCTTAACAAAACGTAAACAAGGCATGATAAAATGCACGTGTGTTTTGATCTGATGATATGTAACAGTCACTTCAGTTCGTAAATCATCGGGACTTTTGACAGCATAGTTCAGTGACTGTATCGGTAACCCCGGGGGCATGGAATTCTCCACACATCGTTTACCTTTAGACTGGATACAAACATAAACTCCGACATTAACACATCACAAAGTACATATATACAGCATCGTCTTTGATAACTGATGGAGGAGAATACCTGCAGGCAGGTATTAATAGAAAGCACAGGAACTGGTCAATATTTACAACTTCATTTTTTTTAAATAGAATGACATTTTAAAGTAGGAGACAACATGAATACTTAAATTACTCAACAAATTATGATATCCTGAGTATGTAATTATAAACTAACGTAATTTACGACATATGTGTGTTCATGGGACTTATTTTTTCCTTATATCGTGTGACTATAATATATAGTTACACGCCCCTGTGTTTGAGAAAAGGATTTTATTTGACAGCATGCTATCGTCCCCAGATGTGACAAAGATTGGTGATTCGGTGTGTTTCCCTACGGTCAGTGTTAGATCCTGACTTCACACATGTAACTATGAATCTCATTTGCATATTTTAAACACCGTTTAACATCGGAGGAGGAGCACGCTTTTAGACAGAACGGCACACATGTATATGTGGGAGACTGCAGGTGAACGTAAAAACTTAAATCTCGGCTTTTTCAATTTGGATTTCACGACTGTTTTTATCTGATATTCGCTATCATGAGAACAACATGGAGAGAGGCTGACGACGTATGGGTGTGTGGTCCATATAACGATCCCGGGGGGCAGGGGGATGTTCCACCCACAGGCAGTCAACAACATGGTACAATGGCCAATATCAATCCCAGGAGGGACAATTTTCAACTTCCCAAACAAAATTCTGGCCCTCCTGTGCTCTACACCGGCACCCCGGGGATCTATACTGCTGTCCCAAGTCAGGAGTGGATCAGGTTCGACCTCGCGTATGTAGACCACGTACATCACAAGATCCCGGGGGACGGGACTTGGAAGGGGAGACGGCGGAAGGCTACTGTCATGTTTTATTTAATAGGGGTCCTCCTAATCTTCTTCTCCGTGGCAGTAATCGTCACATTCATCGCTTTCTTCAGTAAGTATGTTGATGATGATGATGATGATGATGATGATGATGATGTACCTTAATTTCCTTGGATACTAAATTCCATCATTCACAAGTAGACATATATTTGTATAAATGTACAGATTTATCGTTAAGTTGATGTGTTGAAAAATGTGAAGTATCGATCACTGCACATCCAATATTAAGACAGATTTAGCTAAAATAATGAAAAAAATGTTCAAATTGTTAAAAAGCCGTGATTTGCAATCATTTTGAGTATATTTCATCAGCAGCTCCGATAAATAATTCAGTCAAAAGATAAAACATAAAGTATTGAGCTCTTTCGTGTGTTTGCACACTGATTTATTTACAAGACTGTCGTATTTCATGTCTGTACTTCAAAGGACAAAAATACTTACTTTATACATACTGCCACCAAGATAATAAATGCATACAATTCTTGTATTAATAAAACCGTTAGATTTCAGGACAACTGGACCATCTCTCTAGGAATATGTCTCTTAGTAATAAATATATTCATTGATTTAATCCTTATTCTTCGTATGAATTGATTTGTTTGTCTTTCAGGTGAAAGAAATAACGAAAAGATGAAAAGTAAGTAAAGGTCACGACCGTGATATTTTTAAAATCCTTATGGGCCATCTTTACATTTATATTTATGTATTTACGTAGTGTTCATTCTCGACCCAATCGGCTGCCATTTCAAGACTATCCCGATACAGATGCATGTATATCGCCTTTCAATTTTGAAAGAGTGAAACCAAGGGAAATAACCCTGAATGCTCAGAATGACAGGGACTTGCATTCAGTGTGTTCATTATCATTTTATTCTTTAACATCTTGTATACCGATTTCAAAACCGCGGTATTAACTTGAAGGACGTGCGAAAGCGAACGCTGATTTTTCATCGCTGTCAACGTGGATATTTTTCGGTTTTCACTCGTCACTAGGAGATGGCAGATGACACCCACAGGCACATGAATATTAGAACTACGACCAGGTAATCCTGATCGCCACTGTTGTTATTTGTAAACATCTGTACCATTTTGTCGGACAACAAGATTACAGGAATTATCTTTAACAGGAAACTAAGCATTTGTAATTTTTGTTTACAATTTCTATAAGAATGTCAATCTTACGGACACCTGATACTTTATTTTGTTTACACACATACCTAATATGATCATTTCTAATCTTGATGAACACTGTGATTAAGATTCGAGAAATCCTTAGATACCTGTGTCATATGCTTATGAATATAGATTTTTTATAGAACAATGACTATTTTTTTTTCCCCCAAGTTTCAAGTTTTTATTACCTTAAGTCTTTCTGACTTATCAGTTACAACCAATATCCATATACAGTTCAATTCACAATCATGCAATTATGCGGTGTACTATATAAATTACAATGTACAAAATGTACGTACTATAGTGGAGAGTGAAGAACTAATTTATAAGCAATTGTGATCTCATTTTGTTCGCATGCACTAAATATTTACCTAAATTTCTTATTTCCGCGATTTTATTACTGTTTAGCAACTCTATTAATTTAAACATACTGGGATGTCTTATATAATAGTTTTTTTTTTTATAAATTTACATCTAATTTCGGCATAGCGTGGACACTTCAGAATAAAATGAAATACGTCATCCAGGTCATGCATATCGCATAAATTACATAATCTGTTTCTTCGATCTATATTGTTATATCGGCCACATTATATATTAAGCGTATGAGCAGATAGTTTTATTTTACATATTTGTTTTACATAATTAAAATTAATGGCTTTAGTTAAATAAGATTGATGTCCAAAATTACAAATGTATTGGTACAGTTCACCCTTTGAGGATAATGCGATCTTTCTAAAACATTCTTGTTTGTAAATATCACAAATCCGTTCCTTTATTATACGAAATGTGTGATTAATTACAACTGGGTTTTCCCACATGTATCCAAGACCTATTCTATATAATTCCTGTTTAACACTCTGTAACCAATTGTCATTGTAGCCGAGCATCTCAGCATAGCATGATTTAAGAATGCAGTTTTCAGAATTTCTTAATTTTATCCAGTAATTGAAAATACGGAACTTACGGACTATAGTCATAGGGTATCTGCCCATTTCATAATACACCATATCATTACTAGTCTTATTATGTAAACCTAGAATACGTTTACAGAACTTCACATGTAATTTTTCAATTTCGGGCGCCGTATGGAAGCCCCACACTTCCGCCCCATAACTAAGTACACTATTTACATATGTGTCAAACATCGCTAATTGCGTTTCTATATTGAAAAAAATTACTTTTGCAGATATTCAAGATTGCAAATAATGCTTTTCTCCCTTGGTCAGCAATATGCTTTTGTGTTTGTCTGAATATACCATTAAAATTAAGCAGCACTCCTAAATAACAGAATTTATCCAATACTTCTAATCTGTTCTCCTTATAATACCATTGTTCATTCTCTTTTAATTTCCCCCCATTACGGAATACAACAATTTTTGTTTTCGCTGTATTTACAGTCAGATTCCACTTTTCTGTATATTTCGCTAGGGAGTTCAACATTTTTTGCAATCCATCTGGTGTTTCAGCAATGACCACCATATCATCGGCATACATTAGTAAAAACATGTTAATCTCTTGTATATCTATGGATGGACAATTGTCAGATAAAAATTGCATTTCGCAATCGTTCACATACATAGAGAACAACAGAGGTGATAATATTTCCCTCTGAAATAATCCGTTTTCATAGCCGAAATAATCAGATAGAGTACCATTATATTTTATACAACATTTAACATCTTTATACAACGATCTTATAATTTTTAACATATTTCCACCAACCCCTTCTCTGATCATTTTATACCATAAGTTTTGTCTATTTACAAAATCAAATGCTTTGGTGTAATCCACAAAGCAACAATAGAGACGTTTTTTAATGTACGATTAATTAATGTTTGTAAGGCAAATATGGCGTCAACTGTTGAAAAGTTTTTTCTAAATCCAAATTGCGCATCTGTAATCTTATTGTACTTCATTTCAAATGTTACCAGTCTGTTATTAATAACGGCTGTAAAAAGTTTACCTAAAGAACTAAGCAACGTAATACCCCGATAATTATCTGTATTATTAATGTCACCTTTCTTGTGTATAGGTACAATGTTACCTATGGACCAGGAGGATGGGAAATAACCCGACCTGAAGATATGATTGAATAAGGCTAAAAGACATGGCATTAAAATATCTGTACAGTGTATAGAATATTCGTTGAGTATACCATCCTGACCACACTGAGCTTTATTGTAACTAAGGTTTCCAATAGCCTCACGTATTTCAGACTGTTTTATATCAACGTCAAGTTATTTGAATATAGGAGAATCAAAATTAACATCATAATCAAACAAAAAATCATAAATGTCTTTATCAGTGTTGGGCACGCCTGTATTTAGCATAGAAAAATGTTGATAAAAATCTGTTACATTTAGATCGGTGTTAATATTTTTTTTATATTTTCGGAATGTTTTGTAAAATGCACGTGGATTGTATTTACGCAAATAATTCAGCATATCTCCTTGATAACATCTGTATCTCTTTTTTAACTTACATTCTAATTTCTTATATGCAGATTTTTTACTTGCAAGGTAGTCTCTGTAGTAAATATATACCTATACAGAGCTATCATATTCTTCACCTCCGGTCGACACAGCGTTCCCTGGGTTAATATAGTCTCGACATGGGTTAATAGATCCAGTTGTCAACATCCGTAAATAGCTATAATTGTATATCCTAATACTGCTTTGATCGACAGACATCATCGGTTTTATTTACATTTGCGTGATTAGCAGGCGAATGACAAACTGTTGATTTTTGAGTATGATGATTTTTACTATGTATGCAACGAATTCGTGACGATCTTGTTTGATTTAAAGGAACTAAATGGTTAGACATTAATTTCATAACTGATAAAAACGCATCATAACATTTCAATATCTGTTAAAAGTTGTGCACTTTCTGTTAATTATGACATATCAAAGTTTGCATAATCATTTTATTAACAACTTCAAAAGGTAAAATAAAAAAGGAGCGACACAACACTAATTCATATCATTATCGTTTTGAGTGTAAACAATGTGTTTGCGCATGTAATTTTATATTCATATTAATTCAATTTAGTATCTGTCGCTCTGTCACGCTCTGTCATTTTACAAAGTAAGAATTGAAACATAACTGGCATATGAAATTTTGGCTAATTACATAATTATACATAGTACGCAATCATATCAAAACGGCGGTTTAAAACGAGGCTCCGAAAGGTCAGGTGATAAACTCGGCTATCTGGGTAGGGGGAACACAACAGCGAGTGTTGACTAACGCTATTTTGAAGCTGATAATCTTTATCAATATCATAAATTTGCAAAGAGTCTAAGTTTTTAAGTTTTATAATACTTGCCCGAAATCGAACGAAAAAAAAAAAAATAAATAAAAAAATAAAAAATAAAAAAAATAACGAAATCTAACCGTTTAGTCGATTTAAACATAAATTAATTCAACTTTCTAACAGACGACGCAAAGACGCGTGTGATTGATGCTCGCAACTCACATACTGAAAGTACATATGCATGCAACAATAATTCAATAATGCATGAAATACATTGGACCTATATGTATAGAATACATTACAATGAGAAGTAAAACAATAATTGTAACAATAGATGACATAACAGACTATAAACCCACACATTTCAGATCTACTGTATCATACACATCACGCATCACGTGTCAACCGATTTAAGCAAGGAACGGTCAAACAAACAAATAAACAAACAAGATAAAAGTTAAACCGTCAGGTGTGCGATATGAAACTATTAAAACAGGGTTTTAAAGATGTTCACTGTCATAATGTTATGTTCATTACGAATTCACATGTATTTTTTAGCTACGTATGTGTGTTATCGGTTCTTTTAACACTCTGTAGGCCTGGACAACATTTGGTACGAATTCCTAGAGGAGTGAAATATCCTGTCAACATGGCCATTGAAACACATGGACTTGTGTTGCCAGAAGTACATTTCTATGTTCAGTGACTTTCATAAAATATTTAGATAGAAAATGTAATAGATATCTACTAAATAACACAACTGACACGCAAACATGTTTAAATTGATATTTCGAAAAAAAAATATATTTCGATGACTCTGGAAAAAAGTTATTCTGCAAATATCCTTCTTTGGTAGGTTTGTCATGTGTTTTGTGAAAAGTTCATGTTGGGGAAAAGAACCTCCAAAAAATGCCCTAAGTAGTAAATGAAATGAATGGGAGACATTTGTATTTTCCATATGGTTTGGTGTTACAGGGAAAATTAGCTCTGTCCTATACTGCGATGATCTCCGGAGGAAACATCTGTCATGGAGACGCTGTAGTTCTTGGAAAGTGATTTCCAGAAAAGGTCACAAAGTTTAACACGTATGCCATTTACAGGTCAAGTGCTAACAGAGTGCACGAGGCGCTGTATCCCGTCCCCAAGGGACAGTACCAAGAAGTAGATATGTAAGTTATGTGGAGTGGCCTAATTTGTAAGTCCTCCCTTTTGAGTAATAGTGTCACCATTGTATTTCATGTTCGCAATACGTAAACAATTGTACAACTTTGTTTGTATTCATTTTCCAGACACAGACTGGTACACTTCGGGCCTTCAGAGTTCCAGATTCTTCTAGTACAGAGTTATCACTCTGACTACAACTCCTCGGAGTGGGAATCAGTTCTGAGAAAAGCGGTATAGCAATCTCCTTCCTTGATTTCGTGGGATTGATCGAGCAATGTCGACCAGCGAAATATATCACTAAATAGGAAAAGTGCTCGCACACAAACCTCTCTCTGGACTTACCCGTGTCTCGACCTCGACATATATATATGACTTTTGAGACGTGTGGATATCTCGAAATTAAGAAGTATGTTGTTGTTCAAATAACATCATTGATTGGTTGAAACACCCACAACAATATATCTGACAATTTTAGAACACAGTGTTTTAGTCATGGATAATTTATATTTATTTTGTCGCTGTAGAAATGTATGACAAAGTCGTTGTTTGAATTACAACTTTCATTGGAACATACATATGTTTGTCTGTGAACACGTTCACTTCAATTGATGACATATATTTTGATGTAATGCCTCTTCTACTTTTTTCTAAATAAACCATTAAAATATTACAATTTTCAGCTTGTACGTATCTTCTGTGGAAGGTGGTGAAAAAGTGTTTCGTGTATTTAAGCGAAAACGTACCATATTATATTTTTATCTTCATTTTTGTTTTCAATTTCATACCAACTTGCATGTAGGTCTCAAGGCAGCAAACGCAATTAAGCATGTGTCATTCTGATTCTGTTTGACCCTTCTACTCCAGCTTCTTACTGACTAGTAACAGCGTAGACAACAAACATTTAGATGGCCAAAGTATTTATCAGGTTGGCACTGTTCAAATTGATGCAGTCATATACATCTTATAAAAAAGTCTTTAACCAATGTGACAGAAATGAGAAGTTTTCAAGCACATGTATTTTACTATTTGACACGTATAAGGGTTAATACACGTGGATTTCAAAATGTAAAGGAATCTATGCATTTATAATGCAACAGATGTAACCATCACAAACCAGTAACAGTCAGAGTTTCCCCGGAATCCAAAACCAGACATTCGGCTTTTTGACGGATAGATGTAAGGTATACCAGATATTTGCCCGGCAATGTCACAGTATTCAGATCTCCCAGAGTTACTTCCCTTTATTTCACTCTATAGTAAAGTGGTATGGCGAAAAGTGCGTCGCAACAAGAAGATCCAAATTCGTGCCATTATCCAATCAGCGGTGATCTAGAACGGTAGTGACACCAAATAGCCAATCACTGATGTCCTACACCTCGCATCACAGCAACCGTCGATTATCGTAAACTGAGGTTGGCATATTCTCTTAGCTAAATAAAGAAACTAATGAAAGTGAGTTGAGACTAAAAAAAAAACGGTAATGCGATTATACATGCGTAAAAAACTGTTCGAATATCCCATCCGCAAAAATCGGATATCGTCGTAAAGAATCTAAATATGGAAATTCCCATTTACATGACGTCACGATTTAATGAAAGTTATATTCAGAACTAAATGTGATCTGAAAAGCTGGTGTAAAGGATTAAGTACACTACAGGTCAGTAAAGAATTCAACTGAATTAGTGTTATGACCTAACGACGGGCCACATTAAATTGTCATAGAAATCAGCATGACGTAATGAATATAAATATCATCAATAGACAATGGGACAATCTATGATATCTATCTGGTATTGTTTTCCAGTCGATGACAATAGAACAGATAATTTATAAACTAGATAAATCTGGTATACCTACATGTATATATATATAGCTTAATATTGTATACACCTGGTATTTTTGTTGTAAGTATCTTACACTGTTTATATCGCCAGTGACTCTCCTATTTAAAACCTTTACAAGGGTAAGTAGCTATGTAGATCAGAATATTAAACGTTAAACGTTTTATGAGTTTGTAAGGGTGTGTATAATTAGTTGTAGACTCAGAGATATTCTGTTTGCCTGTTTATGAAATATTTGTATTTTTTACTAATTTTGCTGTGATTTATATTTAGTTTTAAACGTTATTATTCTGTCTTCTGTTACACAACATGTATATTCTAACTAAAATCAGAGGACAAATGTATATTTTGCTGTGTGAGTTTACATTGGGTATTCAAAATGTAAGTGTATTGTACACATGGGAACTTTGGTTCGCATACACTTGAACATTTGAACGTTTTGGCGTTTACCATTACAGCGAAAATAGAAAAGGCGAGCAAACGTTTCTGACTTTCAAACTGGAATACATGTAGGGATTTGGCGATTTTAGCACTGGACGAAAATGAACAACTTCATGTGAAAAAATGGACAATTGTTTCCCTCATACAGTTACATTCACTACTATATGTATCGGGAATGGATGGTTTACTTTAAAAAAAGTCTTCAAACATTAAATACTTTTTGTCAAATTAATCACTTGTAGTTTATTCATATTGGCGATCGCTTTATACGTAAGAAATGCAGGATTTTTTTCAGCTCCGAAATATCTTGATTGTTTATCCAATATATACTTATGCCAGGGACGTATCTGTATTATACGTCCCTTCTTATGCAAATAAAAATGACATAGAATTAGAGAATTGGTGGGGAAATAGAATTTGTCGCCGTTTGTAAAGAAACACTAGAAGACTCTGTCAAAAAGCTTTATATACATATAACGTATGTACTTTTCCCATTATCAACAAATGTTCTTATATTTGCTAAACCGATCAGTAGTTTTACAGGACAAAACCAACAGAAGTACAGTATCTGTTATTTTCATTTTTCGTTTATAAAAGACAGATTTGATTCGCAAGTGATGGAGTTCTCCATAGCAACGACTTGGGATTCTCAGCCAGTGGACCATACTCCTGTCAAGATCACCTTAAGTCGACATGTCGGCGGAAATGACGTCAACATACACGTCGATGCTCCCTTCTTTAATGATCCTCCTAATCCTGGCGGGACGGCCGGCCAGCCGTTTCCGAAATTATACAACTACGAAGGTAGGCTATATTATCACTTGTCAATCCATTTGATTCGCTAAAAAAGATAAATAAATAAAAAAGCGATATTCTGGAGTAAAGTGACTGTCCGAATAAATGTTCAAAATGAGTAGGTTTGTATAGTAATAACTTCCATGGTAATAGCGGAACGCACGACACTCTCCTTTTTATCGTCTATATTCAGATTTCATTTATAAACCTAATAGTAAATAGGCCTGCACACTGCAAGTAAAGTTATTGTTATCAATATATGGATGCTGTGTGCTTTGTGATAGACACGATCACCGCTGATATATGTGTAAACACTATTTTAACGACGCTATTGTTACTTGACCATATAATCTTATCCACCGGTATGCTTGTTTATCACCTTTAAATCCCGCTTTTTTCCGAACGTCATTTTTCATCTAAAATACGCCGTTATTAATAACTGAGTAGGACTGACGAAGGTTTGCTTTTTACAGTGGTTGAGGCGTTTTTTCTGAACGACCAAGATGACTATTTGGAGGTTGAACTTAGTCCGTAAGTCATACGACCAACACGTTTATAGATAAACATATATATGAACTATATGTGCATGTCAGCAGTTTTTTTTATAAATATTCCGAAAAAAAATGCTAGTGATAATGTCTTAAAATCAATTCAATGTACACAACCTTTCTTATCTAAAAGAAATATTTGATTTGATCTTGAGCATTATGCGTACTGTGACCTTGACTATCTTTCATTGACACAGACACGGACAGCATCTGGTGCTGATGCTGCGTGGAGAAAGAAATGCTGTTAAAGTAAGTGCTTGCTATTAATATTGTCTTTCTTTCTTTCTTTTACTTATTTGTACTGGTATAACAACCATTAATGTCATGGATTCACTCGTTACTGGAGTTCATTTGCCAACAAATCCTTAAGTTAAATCGTCTCAACGACTTTGTTTCAGCAACAACTTCCAATTTCGTACACGGCCAGACAACATGGCAACACATGGCAAGGAAACGCTGTAGTTCCGGGTCGATATTTCCCTCGTGACGTCACAAAATTCAACGCCTACGCCATACACGGGACAGATCCTAACAGAGTATACGAATCCCTGTATCCAGTTCCGGCGGGGAAATATCAAGCACCTGACTTGTAAGTGTATTACCGAAATGATAATATGGTACCGAAATCACAAGTTTGAAAAACAAATGGGTTTCTATTTCATGTAATAAGTAAAATTTCAGAATGATCACCCGCAAGTGAAAGGAAGTTTGATATAAACAGCTTTATTGTATGACCCGTTACTTATGCTTGTAAGTCGAAGTCATGCCATTGACGGGAAATCTGTGTTTTTATGGTTTAGAATAAATTATCAGATATATGAAAATTACTAATTACTTATTGAATTATGGGACTTGTGCACGTCCCCATCTATACTTTCAATTTTCTTCCGATTACTTTAGAGTTTCCTCATTCGCCTCGCAGACTTCAAAAAATAGGTCCTTAGCGTCATTAGCGAGTTTTAGACGGACAAAACAGCTGCCTGATGCAGTTTAATTAATTGTTTGGCTTAAACGTATCTTAACTCTGAAGTTCTTTTTTCTTTGCAAATTGCACATAAGACTCCTAAAATATTGTTACGTAATACAATTTGTACATTAACCATGTATTCCACCAACTTATTCCTTTTTGTTATTTGTTTTTCCCTTTACACCAAAATTAACTAAACACTAAATTAATATAAGTGTATATTAGGCCACCATACGTAATTGTTATACAAATAATTTTCTGGGAGAAGGATTAATATAAGCTTCAAGCTTGTTTCCTAATCCCAATGTGTTTCAATATGTATAATTATATGTTCATGTTATTTTGAAAAATAAAATACTGTTTACAATAACTCTGAAGTTTAATTAAGTTATTAACTTAAGTGTGTTATGTACAATAATCGTAATATGAAATGGGCACTTAAATTCGTCATATCAACAATATATAGAAAATCCAGGCTCGGCAATATTTATGTGAACTTTTTGTTGATATTTATTTATTCATATGTGACACAGTGTATCAGTTATAAAAGTTGGATGTATATGTTAGAGTTTATAAAATTGCTTTAATAAAAATACTATCGTTAACATAAATTATTATTCAATATATGTATCAAATGTAAAGGTTGACAGTTTTGGTGCCGTGAACAGGATATCGGAATTGTCACGGGGCTGAAAATGTATCATTTATATTGGCACCAAACTTACTTTTCTGCGTTCAGCTCAACATGAAACCTTTGACGTGGCATTTTCTCTATTTCAGTCACAAACTGACCTATTTTCGGACGATAGATTTCCAAAGTATCTTACCAAGCAACCATGGCGATGGTTATGATTCGGCTGAGTGGAGTTCTATACCTGCCCATCACCACGAGGGATAATCTCATCAGTCGAGCTTTAGGTGTTCTCATATCATTCACGTTTGCTATAGCAATCAGTTATGGAAACGACTTAGATGTACAACGCATTAAAACATTATATCACTTAGATAATATTGAACTTCGAATGTTAGGGCTCAGCAAACATTATAGGCCAAATATTCTATACACGCATTTATAAAGTTTTCGTACCGTGACAAGGGTTCCAACCGACACTTCGCAAGGAAAATAACGAACGTGCTAAAAGTGATATTGATCCTTGTCATCTCCTGCTTCGAAATAAATTTCCTTATTCCTTGCGAATGACACGGAGATAAGAACACCCAGGAAGAAATTCTTTCTAAGAATAACGGGAAATATAGGACCAAAACAGTTGACATGATGTTGTTGCCTTTGGATTATCGCAATATGCAGCAGTGATACCAGTACGGTACAGCTGTTTGCTGGAAGAGGTTCTAACCATTTCTATTTGGCTATAAAGCCTATACTTTTATATAGTTTTGAAAATATACTTTCACGTATAACGTATCCCACTGCAATATGTTTTGTATATATGTTCACATTTGTTCAAATATTGTGTTGAATATGTTGACCGAAGCCAAACTCACTCTCGAACTTAAGAATACGATTTATTTTTATTCATTGTATTGGTTGTTATTGTGAATATTACGGTAAATAAATAGAATAATAAATATAAAGATAAACGGAAAATTAGACCACCATCAGAGGCAATTCTCCAGTTGACTTTTTTCCAGAAGACATTGCTCTTGTACATGCTCATTGCTCTTGTATCTATATTCTTTGGTGAAAATCGCAGAGTAATCGCCGCGTCCCCACAATGATTTGAAATTCCTGTGCGTTTTGTTTCTTAATTGAAAGGTTAAAGGACAAGAAGCATAGACGTTTAGATTTAATTTTATTAACAATATGTATTTGATAACGCTTCATCAGACAACTGTCTGTTTTAAGTATAATAATAGTCATTTAAAGTTTGATACGACACAGGTTATAAGATCTAGCGGATGTGTGATTGGATGAAGATTAGCGTGGTTTCAAATGAGACATCACATCTTCCTAGCATCATCTGATATCGCCAATTGGGATTCCATCTCACTCTAGTAAATTTTCACGACTGCTTGCAAAAGAAATAAGGTTATGTGATGAACAGAATCTTACATTCGTTGATAATTTCATGCAAGATCCTCTGTATGTTTTTTCTTCTAAATTCTGTGTTGTGAACAAAATATCGATTCAAAATTTTGAAATTTTTGATGACTTGTGAATTCGCGGGATTCCAGCAATCAAACAATGACTTTTTATATAGCGTACCCTAACCTAACGACATTGTTTCAAATTTACCTCTTTTGATAATGTTATGTGAAATATAACATAATATATAAAACAATCATGTAGTATTAGGGAAAAGATCAGCATTACAGTGTCTTTTGTGATTTATCAAAGGGTAAAGTTCAATTTGACGCCTATTTTTGTTTCCACGACCACCTCCTGTTCCATACCACATATTGATATCCGATGACATGACCACCAACATTAAACTTAAATCTTTAAATAGTTCACAACATAATTTGTTCACGTGTATTTTGAATATGAGTAATTAGAGATAATTTAATTTGTTTTCAAAAAATTGTATAGGCGCCTGCCTATATAGCCTGAAAGGCAGCTAGTTCTAGAATGCGGTTCTCTTTTTGTTATGCTGTGCTACTGTCTAGTTAATGGTATGCATAATAAATATCTACCATCAATATTTCAAGTATTCATTGTTTTTTGTCTGTATTCAATTTTTATTTCCTATTTACCTACAAGGTTTGCGATGGCTCAGTCGGTCAGAGCGTTAGTCTGCGTAACCCGAGGTGTGCGGGTTGTTCATGAAGCTGAGAAACGGACCGGTCCGTACTGACGTGATTGCTTTCTTGGGCAAGACATCTCGCCCTAATTGCTTTGAATGGTATGCGACGGGCCTTCCTATTCAAACACACACAAGCGAATAACAACACAATCTCTGAACCATACAAATATACACGATATTACGAGAAACCACCGAATATCCTTTATAAATTCTGTCACACGAGGGAAATATGTATTTACATAGATATTTAACAGGGAACGATTGGATTTTCTTATCATTATAATTATGAAATAGATAGATGGGGAAAGCCGATTCAAACATACGACCAACCGACGTTCCAATAAGTTCCGGGATTCTTAGCATGTCCTTTGATATCGGATAGTTTGCCGTTACACTTGACAACATTACGATGCCATTTTATGTACTGGTCGCTTTACGTACCATTGTAGCTTGTTAACTGGTGACAATTCGATTAAAAACCTTTTTTGTAAGTACATGTACCAAATCAGAGAAAACTCGAAGAAATGAGCTCGGAAGACACCTCATGAAAAACTTTCTTTTTCAACCTTCGCTTCGCCTTCATCCGGAACGGAAAATCTGCTCATTTCGATAACATTCTGCTAGACCCCTTTAAGTGGTTACAAGGGGTTTCGGTTGAGAAACGGTGAAAAATGCGACTATGTGAAAGTATTTGGACACTTGCATGCAGTGGCGTAGCCAGGATCTAAAGTTTGGGGGATGGGGGCAAAAATCTGGCAACGCCGGCGAAGCCGTGCGTCACGAGCGCCGAAGGCGCGAAGCTTTGGAGAGGGGTCTGGGGGCCTTCCCCCAGAAAATTTTGAAAATTTTGGCTCCATTTCCTGCATTTTGAGCGTACTTTTGAAGGTAAATAACGACACAATAATACTGGGATAAGTCGATATAACGTATTGAAATAAATCAAAGTTAGAAAAGATACAAATGGAAACAAAATAATGTCGGACTACATGTACATAACAATCAATAAGAAATATCAGTAAATGACAACATACATAAACATCAAAAATCAGCATAGACTATTGCTCGACAGAATGCAAGTATAATCGATAAAATCCCTTACCCCTTGCCCCCCACCCCTTGCCTCCCCCCCTTGCCTACGCCAGTGCTTGCATGATGTAAATTCTCAGCTGATTGAAAAGATTACTTCTGGACACTTTAGATGGCCATGGTGTTTTGTTAACAAGTGAATGTACCTTTCTACTTCGGCTGATTAACAATATCACTGGAAAAGTTTTATCGTGAAGCCTTGTGAAGTTATGAGATATATTTTATCTTTACTCCGATGATAAATTAAGTTTCATGAACCGATAAAATGTGATAAACAAATATAATATTATCTGTCCGGATCCGGATTGTCTGAATTGGTTTTGGATTTAGTGTATTAATGTGTACTTCCGTTACAAAGTAAACGACGATGGCAGACTCGTATGCTTTTGTTAAAGTAGGGAAATTGAAGCTGAAAGGACACAAGGAGAAAAAGTAAGTGATAACTCCAACCAGAGACTTTAATGATACTATCAATTTTAACATTGGTTTCTTTGAAACAATATCATTGCGACAATAAGACAAAACGTATATCGTACGACTGGTATATATAACATAAGATTTACCGGTATGTCAATGTACTTAAGACTGTTTACGATAAATATCAGTCTATGTTATCCGTCTGTTCAATAGAGTGAATATGAATTCTGCTATACATACATGGTAATTTATTTTGATTCGTCCTAAATATCAGAAGTTACGAAGAACGTATTTCTTGGCGAAGCTCTTTTTGGAAGTAAAAACAGAGACTGGACAGATTTATCTTCCTTCCCACGTGTATTGCCTTTATTATTTTGAGGGTCCAAAAACCGGATATAGTAATTCAGTGGAGAAATAATCTTGCTTTACCAGGTGCTTGAAAATTTTACAAACTTGTATAAGTTGAAAGTAGCCTTACTACTTTACTGGCCTTTGCTAATAAGTGCTTTAGTGGAGCGATATTTTACACCCATATGGCTGGCGACCAAAGAGTCACTTATTAGAACCCACTGAATGCAGGGTGTTTTTAATTACTCCTTCCTTTTACAAATTTGGTGCTGTTGACCTCTTCAAGGATAGAAGATTGAGATAATTCTTTGGAGATATCGAACTGGGTTGTTGATGTCGCCTTGGTCAAAGACTTTATAAAGGAGTGAGAAGTATAGAAGTTGAGAGTACAGGTCGCCTAACTAGCATTGGCTAGTCGTACATCAGGGCCAAATGACTCCTTTTTATTTGCTCTGTTTCCTTGTTTCAATGTTGGCCAGTTTTTTTAATTATAAAAACAAATGCAGGTTTGCAAATGTAAAAATATTCTAAGGCTTTCCTTTTTCATATAAGTGATCAACATTACATCTGTCAAAATGTTCATGTCAGTTTCATGTGATACATCATCCTTGATGCTCAATGGGTTTCGATCACTTTTGCTCTCTGCATCCCTGGAATATGTCTTGGCTAAATTGACGACACAAGCAAAGTAATTTGATTGGTTCCAGGAGAAAAAAAAAGATCAGTCACAGGATGATAAAGTAATGGGACCTTGAGATTCAGTCGATGTACATACCAGGGTAAGAGGATCTAGTCTTTTGGTCTTGGCCACAAGGTGCCACCCATGGAGCTTTTAATTTTGCCATGACATGTTCCAGGACTGCAGAGAACCAAATGAATGTAACCCCTGGCGTATCGAGGATGGTGAGACATTAACTGATATCTTCTATTTTACAATAAATTAAAAGTTGCACTGTATTGAATAGATATCAGTAAAAATGTTATTCTTGTTTAGCCACTTATAACCAAACTTTGTATTCTAGACACAAAAAACATAGAAAGAGAAAACATGAAGATGATGATGCAGCAGCAGGGAGTTCAAAACCAAAAGACACATCAGACTTAGCAGAACATGGTATTGTTTACTCATTATTATCATATATATATAGCAGAACATGGCATTGTTTATTCATTATTATCATATTGACTTAGCAGAACATAGTATTGTTTATTCATTATTATCATATTTATTTAGCAGAACATAGTATTGTTTATTCATTATTATCATACTAATTTTTTGAAAATGACTAATTGTCATAGATCTAAATGGTTCACATTAATCAGCTAAAAGCAGTATATTGTATATATTTAGAACTCAAACTTTTGTTAATAATGGTCAGTCATGTATCTTGAGATAGATGTAATATTTTGGTGATAATGTTCGCTCATTTACTTACCATAGATACTGTTATTTATTTTGATGTATTACAGGAGGCTGGTGGCAGGCACAGAAACTAGAAGACATCACTGGAATGGTTGTGGTGGAGATGAATGAAAGACGCTACATCTGTCCTCAGGACAATGGCAGTCTTCGGCAGGGTCCTCAACATGCCTCAGGTACACAAAGGCATTGAACTGTCTTGTTATGGCATTTATGGTTGTTGTAAATGATAGAGGTTTGTAGCAGACAACATATTATGAGCCAACTGGATGTCATTTATGGTAAATTAAATCACACTACCTGGTACTTCCAGGTTTTTTAAGCACATCATGCAGTGACATTCTTAGACATGCAAAACATGATATGTTGTATAAATTATGGTTATTAGCGATGGTACATATTCCAGGTGATATACCAGATCCTGAAGAAGTCTTGACTGCAATCAAAATCAACGAGACAAAAATTGCTCTCAAATCTGGTTATGGAAAATACCTAAGTATTGATACTGATGGGTCTGTCATAGGAAAGTCTGATGCCATTGGTTCGAGAGAACAGTGGGAGCCTGTGTTCCAAGATGTAAGTTCTAGTTAATAAATACTTCCAAATGTTATCTCTCTGCCCAAAAGTTTTAAGCATTTTATTGCTTATGGCACAGATTTCTGTTTATTTTATTCTTTGAATTCACTCAAGAAAGAAATTCCAAAAATGGAAAGAGCAATGGAGATTTTTCTATTTTTCTAAAAGTAAAATTGAGTGATGTTTTCAGATTTTGATTTGATTTGGTAAAAGCTATTCCTGAAAAATAACTTATCCTGACCTAGTAATAGTCTTAATATGGAGAAATGTTTTGAATTTATGGTGACTATGGTATAAAAGTAAGGGATCAATTTTACAATGTATTAAAACAGCTAATGGTAGTGTGGTTGATAATTGATCTACATTGCAGTAATCAGCATTTGATATTCTCAGTTCAATTTTCAACTCTAATTGACCATAGAAATATCTAAAAAATTAAATGACAAAGGCTATTGTGACATACCCTTTGCTTATTACTTTAAAAATAATAAAAATCTGCAACTGTTGAATTCCCCGACCAACATTGTTTTCCAAATATACATTTGTGTTTGTTTTATACAGGGAAAGATGGCGCTCAATGGTTGTAATGGAAGATTTATGTCGTGTACTAGTGATGACAAGATTATTTGTGTTAGTTCTAAAGCAGGACCAGAAGAGATGATACAGGTAAGTACTGCACAATACCAAAAAATTCACATTTCACATTTTATCATATTTTAGAGGACATATCAGAACAGTGTTCCCCATTACCATTGAATAAACAAGAATTTTTCTCTCGTTTTCAAGCATTATCCTACTTAAACACATTGTAAGGGGTACACTGTACCCTCAGTTTTGAAAGGCAAGGTTGATAAACTGTCAGAAGCATTCAGAAAACTGGAACTTTGTTCAATAGTAATTTTAATCTCAATCTGATGGTGATTCCACTTGCCCTGTCATCTTCAAGCAACTTGTGTAACGACATTGTATTTACATTTATTAGATCCGCATGAGTGTGAAAGAAGAGGAAGATCCACTAGCTCACATACCGATAGAAGAGAGGGGCAAACTCAAGGATGCTGAAATCAACTATGTGTAAGTATTGATTTTAATCAGATTAAAAATTTTGTCATTTTAAACTATTTTACATATTGTCACAGTTCAACAAAATCGGTATTGTGCTGAATAGTTACAGCAGCAATACAGGGGATTTGCCATAGAAGGTGCAGAAACTAAAATTTGAGCAGTTTTGTTTAGCACAATGTTTTCAGTTAGAAAAAAGATGGTGAAACAAAATGAATATTGATATTGTCTATGTTTACCATTGTGTACAAAAATCTATAGATTTTTCAATCCTATAAATGTTTTAATTTCTGGAGTATTTTAATTGAAAAAAAAAATTGTTGTTTGTAGCACAGAAAAAAAATCAGAAATAATGATTAGTTTTATCTATGCTTGATAAGTTAAAGAAATAATTTGAAATAGTTCAATAACTTTATAATTTTTCATGTTTTGACTTACTTAAAATTCTTTTTCACTTTCGCAGGAAAAAATTTCAGAGTTTTCAGGACAGAAAGCTGAAAATTAGTGTGGAAGATCTTTCAAATCTGAAGAAAGCTAAGAAATCTGGCTCCCTGCATGAATGTATGCTGGACAGGTGAGTATTATTTAGAGAAATAAATTTTTTACCTTTTTTCTTCAAGGTTCCTCAATAGAAAACGTGAAAATGTCTTTGTATGTAGAGGAACTCACAAAGAAATGAATGTAAGATTCTTTATGTCACATAACTTTGACCCTTTTGTAAATATTTGTGAAAATGGCATTACTGACAATAAATCTAAGGTCATAGTTGATGAAGCATGAGCCTGTGGCATCACAATGGCGAAATGGCAGTCCTCAGCTAATCACAGGTCCACTAATACATATCACACATTTTAACAAAATGTAGGGGTTGTTGTAACACTGATAACATTTATGAGATAGAGCTTGTTTGAACAAGAACGGAAAATAGAGTCACAGGGTTTGAATGTGCCAGGGGAACATTGTTTATTGGGAGTCTCAATATTTGATGTTAGTAGTGAACAAACCTGTCTTCTGTTACCTGAATTTATCATATGTCATTACTGTTTTTATGGAATAAAAGCTTTTTCTTTTTATAGACGAGAAAAGTTGAAAGCAGACAGATACTGTAAATGACATCTTCATTGTACCAAGTAAAATGGAATGATGCGGGTCAAATAAGAGTTAGCTCCCTTCAACTGCCAGCCATTACAAAGAATGACCAGACGGGGACAACTTTATATAACCTCCAGGGGATCTGTTTTATTCCATTTGATGTTCAACAACTGTGACTTTAACAGGTCGTTAAGTCACGTGATGTGAAATGACACTTGACAGTCACCTTTCAGATCAATATTCCATGAATTTGAAGGACGCAGGACGACAAGCCAACAAGTCATTATACTATGTGATAGGAAAAGTTGACAGGATTGTTTTTAGTTTAAACATATTTTATTGCCGAAAAAACAAGACAAATGGATTGGGCATAAGTTAAATCAACACTATCGACGCCCTCTCCAATCAATATACATATAAATTTTAAGGCAATGGCACACAAGAACAAAATAATGAGGTATGATATACATGTAACAATTGATATATCATTATAATTTTATAGGAAGGCTGGTTTCCTATCTTAAAATGTAAATCTATTGTTGTACCTTATGTAAATTTGCAATAAATTAAAGATATTTTCATTAAGTTTTGACGGTAATTGTCTATCCGTATAAAGTAGTAGTTCTGTGTCAATGTCATGATTAATATTTAATATGTTTAAATTATGTAGCATTGCTAGTCTCTGATTTTGATTATTGTGACAAACAAAAATGAAATAATGTACATCTTTACAGGCAAAGCCATAGGAACACATTGGGCTAGCCACAAGGTTAACACGAAAAAGAATGAACTGCACTGCACTTAATTTGTATGAATAATATTAACTTTCCTTCCATCATAATTAAAATATGGTGGTGAAGTCAACGGTCTTTGACCAGAAAGCAAAGATCTTTTAAATAAACTAAGGGACAGCTGTAATCTAACTGATACATCTAATTCTTTCAAAGAACAAAGTGTAGAGGGGAGAAATGACGAGTTTGTACTCGTCAATCTATAATTAGGTAATGCAAAATTATCTCTATTTCTCAAACTATAGGGGTTAGTTTGGTCAACAGTTGGTGGCAATAATATATTAAGAAAATTTGGTGTTATACCATGTTTCATCTTATACAAAAGTTGTAAGTTACGTCTTCTAGTCTTTCTAAAAGTTTTTCAGAACCTGTTTCATAATATAATGAGGTATTACTTGTATAGGAAGGCAAATCAGTAATAATTCTAGCAGTTTCTCTTTAGGCTTTTTCTAACATGTTACATTCATCATTATTACAACCGTCCCACACTTCACAAGCATATTCAAAGATAGGTTAAATAAATGTAAGATAAATCTTTGATAAGGTTCACTTTTTAAAATATGTTTAAGTTTCCTCAATACATTGATTTTTTCACAACCAAAATATATATGCCATGGATGTGGTCTCTCCTTTTACCTTTAGCATATAGTGTCACTCCTAAATGTTTATGACTCGCTAAAATCTAAAAACATTCCATCAAACTGCAGTTCAAAAACATTCAAATTCGTAGCATTAGAAATAAGAATTTACATCGGTCTTATTAGAATTAAAATTTATCAACCATCTTTTAGACCAGATATTTAACGCTGCTAAATCATTATTTAAAACTTGAGATTTCTTTACAAGAGGAAGCAGCGTACATTAGAAAGGCATCATCAGCAAAATGCCGAGATGCTGATCGAAAAACTTCAGCTATATCATTGATATATACTAAACAAAAAAAGAAAGGTAACACTACTTTATTCTGTGATTAATTAATCAATCCCTTCATAAATCCTTACCAATCATGTACGAATAAAGTAATTGATCAATTCTGATAAAACTGCAGTCATGGTTCATTATAAAACTTTGCGTTCAGTTGATTTTATTCGACTGTAAAGGACGTTGGGGTCAATTTCAAAGGTAACACCATTAGTAACGGGTATGGCCAACGTTTGCGAAGTAAACAGCATTGCAGCGTCGTCGCATGGAACTCGTAAACCGGCGGATAATTCGAGGAGAGATGTTGTTCCATTCAGCGATCAAGGCTTGGGCCAGCTCCTGCAAGTTTGACGGCTGATTTTGACGTTCTCTCACGCGTCGCCCAAGAACGTCTCAGACATGCTCAATCGATGACAAATCAGGTGATTTAGATGGCCAATCTAACACCTGTACTTTATTCTGCTGCAAGAAAGTTCTGCTGACGCGACTGGTGTGCGCTAATGCGTTATCCTGTTGAAAAATGGCGCAAACGCCATGGCGTCTCAAGAATGACACAACCACTGGTCTTAAAATTTCGTCCCGATATCGAATGCCGGTGAAATTGCCATTTAACACAACAAGCCTGGTACGAGGCCCCCCCCCCACAAATACCACCCCAAACCATTACATTTCCGCCGCCAAAGCGGTCCCGTTCTGCGACGCAGCAGTTCGCAAAACGCTCCCCTCGTCACCTCCACACTCTGCGCCTTCCGTCAGCCTGTTGCAGACAAAACCTGGACTCATCTGAAAACAGAACATTGTTCCATTGTCGTAAGGCCCAACGACGGTGAACACGGGTCCAGTTACGCCGATTATTACGGTGACGTCGCAGCAAATTGGGTCCAGTGTAGGGACGCCGCGCTTTCAATTGGTAGGCCCTCAACGTGTTGCGGACTGTTTGGGGAGACACACGACGCCCAAACAATGTCCTTGTAGTCTCTACTGCCGTTTCGAATCGATTGCGCAAGTGTATCAATCGTATACGACGGTCATCCCTGGCGGTCGTTTTACGGGGTCGGCCGCTTCGGGGACGATCGGATGTTGACCCAGTTTGGTTTAAACGACTTGCCAACTGGCAAATTGTCTTAACACTGCAACCAAAATGCCGTGCAACTCGACGGCGAGACTCCTCAGCCTGGATCATGCCTACAGCCCTTTCTCTCTGTACTTGTGACAGCCAGGGCATAATGATAAAATTGATAGATAGCAAGATTCGGTTATTTCTAAGTCCTAAGGATCTAAGGAACAGTTGTCATTTTGAATGTTTATGAAATTCAAGCGAAGATACAAGTTAGTCGCAGAAAACCTCGTGCAGCTCTTTCGCTAATAGACTTTCACGCTTGAATGATTTTGGTAACTCCCTTGGATTTTGTAATGTAAAACATTACCATTTTCTAATATTGCACAAACGTCATTTTGTTTTCACTCATTTACAGGTATTCGCCAAGGAAACATGTTGACCTTTCTTTTTTTGTTGAGTATATATAAAAAAAGTAAGGGTCCAAGAATTTATCCTTGAGGAACTCCAGCTTTAATAAAACCTATATCCGAAACAGAATTTCCTATAAAAACTTCCTGATTTCTATTTGAAAGATAATTTTCTAACCATTTCAATAAATTTCCAGAAATACCATGAGACTTTAATTTCATAAGACATATATGCCAAACCCCATCAATGGCCTTCGATATATCACAAAACACCAGGCATACATGCTTCTTATCTTCTAAGGCTAAACAAACTATGAAAAATTTCTATTAATTGATAAACCGTGGAATGACCTGGTATAAATCCTGATTGGTGTTCGTAAAACAGAGAGTTATTTATTTATGTATTCATGCATATGTTTAAAAATAACTCTTTCGAAAACCTTTCCAAAAGTGGATAACAAGGAAATTGGTCGATAATTTGTAACATCATGTTTGTTACCTTTATAACCTTTGCTAGTTTCCAGGCTTTAGGGTAAACTCCGCTAGTAAGGGATAAATTAAAAAGTAACATTAGAGGTTTACAAACAGTATCTGCGGTGTACCTAAGCATATAGTGACTAATACCGTCACTTCCTGAAGCTTTTCCAAGTTTCAATATACGTAAAATATCCTTAATCTCTGAGTATTCAACTCTAATAGTATGTAAACGACACTCTGTCCTGTCCTGAACAATAGGACTTTCTACATTATCATCAGCTACTTCAGTAATAGAACAAAAGTAAGAATTTAAGATATTAGATTTTTCGGCATTTTCCATTACAATATTTCCTTCAGTTGGATGTATGAGGACGGGGATTTCCTGAGACGACCCAACAATTTTCCCAAGACGTTTGATTAATTTCCAATAAGATTTCGGATCACTAGTTGAATATCGATCTATTAAACCATCAACATTTTCATAGAAGTTTAAATGAGCATGCTTCTTCATATTATTGACCCTGTTATGTTGCGTTTTAAATTTCATAATATCGACAGATTTACTGGAAAGCCGTGCCTTTTTATGTAATCTGTCCCTAATTCTATAATTTTTCCGTAACTTGGAAGTCATCCAGGGCTTGTCACCTGGCCTAACAGCTACTTCTTTGCTAGGGAAACATCAATTAGCAAAATTAAGATAAGTTTGAGTGAAACCATCACTGTAAAGGTACGACTACACACACAGATGTCCGCCTTAAAACTCCCTTTATTACGCAAATTATATCAGTAATAATATTACATAATAAGGGACATAACTCGGACAGTCTTATGCACCTTTCTGCAACTAGACCGTTACAATCACAAGTACCATCAATAGAACCAATACCCGAAAAGAAACTTTCCCAGTCATATTCCGAAATCATATTATCAAGACGAACAAAATCCGCTTGTTTATATAACCAAATCTTCAGTTTATACACAGGTTTCGTATTAAATGGTATTTCAATAGATGCCAAACTACCGTCGTAATCACTTAAAGATCTGTCAACGATCAAAACATGTGCTTCGATACAAGTGACTGAGGCACTTAATAGAATAAGATCAAGTAAACTGGCCCTAGTATTGCCATCTCTAGTTGGTTCTTTAATTTCATTTCTAAGACCATGAGTCACAAGTGATTCTGACAAATTATGTCTAGGTTGAACTGTTAATATGTCTACATTTAAATCGCCATTAATAACCAAGTTTGGAGAAATATATAAAGCTCTGTCTACCGATTCACTTAAACTTTCCAAAAACGGATTGTTAGAGTTTTCTGGTCGATAAATAGTATATACAATAATAGAAGAATGCTGAAATTCTATCTGGGTCCAGAGAATCTCACATCCTGGAATTTCTAGTTCACGTAGAAGCTTAAATCGGAGTTTGTCATTCGCATAGACAAGAATACCCCCTCCCGCAAAATTACGATCTAAACGAAGTGGCTCGTGGAAACCTTCAAGAAGCAAGCTGTCTGAAGAAACATGCTCGTCTAAATGTGTTTCTGTTAGACAAATAACATCTTACTCCTCGGTCAGGTCCATTAAATCCTTATTTTTATTTCGGAGACTTCTGATGTTCAAATGAAAAATAGATAATTCATTTGGACCTGGACTTGACTCAACATCCATGTGAGACAACAATAAAATTAACAAAACCAAAGAGAAATCTAAATTAAAAAAATAGAGTTAAGGATCAGGACTAGAGAATGTATCACAGATAAAAACTTGGACGAGAAGACGGACAGAAACCCCAACACTGATCTAATGATAAGGTACACCAGAGTACATACATTTTTGACTAAGTAGCCACCATAGAACTTGGAATAAAAAGTGCCAATCACCGATATGTAGCTCATTACGTCATTAACCATTATCGAAAACAAG